TTTTAAATAAATGTATTCATTTACATTTTGGAAATAGGAATGCGTGTTCTTCAAAGAGTGAAAAGTGCTAACCTATAATTCATTTGTTCAGTGTAAAATATAGGATCCTCAACAAAGCAGGACCAAAGCTTTGTAAAGCAGGCCTCATTTCCCCTTTAGAAACAACGGGTGGCAATCCAATTGTTTGGGTCACTGGCTACAGGTGAGAACTGAAAACGACATGTTTGGAAATTACTCTTTGAGTTCAGGAAACCAGAATCTGGATGCCTGTTATTGTCCCCCACCTTGCCATGTGTTTAGGCATGCCTCTGGTTTCCAGGTGTGGAAAACACCTAGCTTCTGGGGTCTGAAGAGCCATTCAGTCCTTAAGCTTTCCTGAAAAGCAGCTAGTAGCTGCTGTGGAACTGTATTAGAGGTCCCCAGCGAGGACTGAGTCCCCAGAATGGAGTGCTAGGCAGCTTACTTTTAAATCTGTCAAGACGATTACTGACCTCCCCTTTGATGCGATGCAAAAGTGAGCGGATTGAGAAGGACAATTTCAGAGCTCTTAGTCACACATGGAAGTAGATCCTCAGGAGGAAGAAAGGCTGGCCTTGTGCTGAGCCGAGGAGCCGGCCAACTTCACCGTTGTAGTGCTCAGCCCCTCCTAATGACTTAGAGTTGTCAACACAGACAGCCAAGTGTGTAATGGAATCCGTGGAGCCATAAAGCAGGCAGGCTACGGTGAAGAAGTCAAGGAGGCAAGAGCGGTGCCTTGCTGAGATGCCACAGTGCACGGCTCTCGGGCACCCAGCTATTCTGTCCTCTTGGGCGTGAGGCCGGGGGCAAAGAATATAATAAAAAAAAAAACACAAGGCTTTTAGGGCCGAAAAGCATTTTGAGCCATTGCCACTTCTTTGAAGCCTTTGGTCACCTATAGATGCCAGCACCTTGGCTATTGTGGGGAGAAAGCCTGTGACACTTGATCAGACATCTTCTTGTAAATCTGCAAATAATGTATGGAAGGGACCGTTTCCTGTTTTGGGTTTTCAGCTGATTTTCCTCGTTTTAGTCCACAGCCATTCAGGCAACTGATCCCTCAAGAGAAAGCAATGGCTTACCCAAGGAGATACACCACCATTAGGACCACCTTTTGAATTTGATGGATAGTAAAATCTCTCTTTTTGCACAGTGTGCTTTGAGTCCGACATCATACAGCATCTTCATTTCAGTTCTTCTTGGAGCTGTCTACACATCAGAACAGAACAAAGCGCGTTAGCAATCACCTGGTGATTTCGTCAATGGAAACAAAACACTCTGACGTGTGCCTGACAGGTGCGCGCTGTATACAAAGCCCGGATTAGCTGGATAATTGCCATCTTTGTCTCTTGCTTCCTCCCACTTTCCCTTTACAAATTACAATTGACAACTAGAACTTGACCAGAGAAGAAAATCCATATGATTGCTGATTGGATCCCTCAGGAATAGGGTACATTTATTTGTTAAGTGACTTCCAAAGGTTATTTGCTGAGAGACAAGGGATAAACTGGGACTTCTAAATGAAGATTATTGACTCGCTCCTAGGCTCCCTCCATTAAGAAGATGTCAGTATGAAAAGCCTCAAGTGGATTACACTGTAGGCATAGATGAGCCATTCAGTAGATAGGGATGTCTCCTAAAATGAGATGCAGGTAGTCTTGAATTATTCAGGTATCTTTTTATTCTGCAAATAGCTTCTCATGGTAGGTAGGCCTGGAAGTGGCAGAGTTAATTATTCTGTGGATGCTTTATTGTGATTGATTCGGGTGTAACATCTGCCTTTTGCAGTTCTGGTTTTCCCCAGACTGAAGTTGTGGTAACCTTTTACTTTTTTTTTCTCCCTCATTAATGCATTTGTAGAGTAGAAAATATTCAAAATTACCTTTGGAGGGCAATATGCTTTCTATTTCAAAACATCCCCTTTGCTTACCACCAAGTGAAGATGAACTCTCTTTTCTGTGCTTGTCAGCCTTTCCAATTTTCACCTCGGGATGCTAACTTTATTAATAGTTTAACTTCGTGCTCCAGTACAAGGACTTTTAGTGAACTGATGACACATGCTAGCCATGCTCTGGTCATTTTTGAGGAGTGTGACATTAAACTGCTGTATGCATTATCCCTTAAGTGCTTAGTGAAGAATGAGAATATTCCAGGAGGACAACGTGGACACCATGAAATTAAAAAAATGTATTAAAATTTTTTCAGATGATATATTTTGGTCATATTCTTTCTCTTCCCCAGGTTCCCCCCAGTCCCTTTCTCCTTCCCTACCCAACTGCACATTCTTTCTTGCTCTTAACAACAACAACGAAACAAAAGAAACAAATAGAAAACTTAAAAAACACAAAAAATACAAGCACCCCCCAAAAAAAACCCCAAACAAAGAAACACCTGGAGTCTGCTGTGTGTAGGCCAACTACTCCTGAGCATGAGGCCTGCACTGGGGTGTGGCTGATATACTTAGCATCACTCCATTGAAGAAAATTGATTTTCCCTCCCTCTCCTAGCAGCTGCCAATCATAAGTAGCTTCTTGGTTAGGGGTGGGACTTGGTGCCCATTTCCCCTTTTCTGTGCTGGGCTTTTGTCTGGATTGTGCAGGTCCTGTGTGTGCTGTCACAGTCTCTGTGGGTGCATACCTGCATCATCTCTACTGTGTCTGGAAATTAGTTTTCTTGGAGTCATCCATTACCTCTGGCTCTTACAGTCTTCCCTGGCTTCCACATAGATCCCCGAGCTTGAGTGCCCCAAAGTCTTCCACTCTCTGCCTGTTGTCCAGTGTGAGTCTCTGTGTTATTTCCCATCGACTGCAAGAAGTTTCTCTGATGAGGGTTGAGCAACACCCTGATCTATGGGTATAGCAATATGGGAGACCATGAAATTTAAATGTTCTTCTAGGAGAGCTAAAAGTATCCCTCTGTTAAGACAGACCTACAGACATGAACACACAGATTCATACCATTCCTGGGCAGACTGGCTTTTAAAAAATGGTATCTATTTATTTAATTATTTGCTTTCTGTCTTGATGCTGGTGTTGTACCAATTGTTTTTGTTTGCCCCAGACAGTTCTAGTTTTAGAACTGGAATTCTCCTGTCCAATGAAACATTTCAGTCATAGCCAAACTTGGCTGGTTGGTTGACCTACCAGCCAATCGAATACCGCCAAACTTACTTGGGCATGTCATTCGAGGCTGTGAAGGTCTTTGTCTGGTTACTTAGGAGGTGATTCTCTTTGCTCTTAGTTTCTACTGAACAACTGTGTATTTAATCCATGCAATCAGCTTTTACAGCCTAAGCTAAATATGCACCCTTAATCTCAAGTTATGTACTCTTCCATACCCTGAACCAAAATATGTGTGTTATGGTAATTATTTGCCTAAGTCAGTTATAGATTGAAAGCAACCTTAAACAAAACTAACACCCCATAAATGTTGGAGGCAACATGTGGCTATATATTGGTAATACCTGTGTGAGGTCCTGAATGCTGCTCTGGGCCAATGAAGTAACTTCTTCCCTTAGGCCTCACTCTCCCTGGGGAGTGGATGGGGGGGGCAGAACAGGGGAGGGGAGTTGGTGTGGGGGGCATGGGAAGATGGGAAGGGGGAGGGAAATTGGATTAATATGTAGAATAAGATTGTTTCTAGTTTAAATAAAGATTTCTGCAGAAGGTGTCCTCCATTTCTTTCTCATATGGTGCTATCTGTGTTGTTCAGTCAATTCAGAGCAAAGCCCTTTTTAGGGACAGGTACAACACACATACACACACATACACTCACACACATACACTCACACAGCCATAGACTCACACAGACACAGGCACAACAACACAGATTCACAAACACATACATACACATAGACATAATACACAATCATAGATTCACATACACACACACACTCACACACAGAGGCACAACATACACTCATAGACACACATACAGGCATAACACATAGTCATAGATTCATGCATACACAGGCACAACAGAACAGTCATAGATTCACGTATACATGCAAACACAGACACACACACAGAGAAGCACAACATACACTCAGTCATACATTCATACACACACACACACACACACACACACACACACACACACACACAGATGAAACGCATACAAAGACGGGCAACACAGATAGTCCTGTAACTACATACCATGGACAGACAGAAGACATTAGGAGACAAAGGGAGAATTCAAATTTAGGCTTAATTTTTATCAAATGACTCCAAAAGGAAGTCTCTCTCTCTCTCTCTCTCTCTCTCTTTCTCTCTGTCTGTCTGTCTCTCTGTTTCTTTCTCTCCTATTCCTTAGTGGGACACTGACATGCTTTTGTGGCTCCTCTGTGATTTTCTTTTTTTTTTTAATTATCCATGAGATTTTATTAACCAGGTGTAAGTATCTTATAGGTGAGAGTCATCTAATCTATGACGCATGGGAACAATCAGAAATGTGCCTTATGTTTATGACTTCAAAACCTGTATGGAAAAGTTAAGACATGTGTTTACACAATTCTGATAAGGAAACTTTGAAACCAAATGAATATTTATAAAAACTAATTTCAGAGACAGTGGAAGGTAAAAAGCCCCTTCCAAATACTTTGTAAACTGGGACATATAATTGCTTTGAGCAGAATTCAAGGACAAGCAGTCATTCACCCTGAAACTTGTATCTCCTGGAATGTTAAGTGGATGGATTTTCAGAGTGACTTTCTCATCCACGTTACGTGAAATCTTCTAGCTGGCAAAAGTCAGATGTTTACATTTTTCTCAAGAGTGAGTTGCGTTTTAGGTTTCAACGAAGACTGTACATCAGGGCTTGCCATGCCGAGCAGGAAGAACTTTTCATCATCCACGTTGTAGAAGTATGAAGCGAAAATAGAATTCTCTCTGACAGTCATGACTGTAGGTTCTGTGTTACGACTGATCCTAAGGACACAGGTTCTACACCTTGTGTAGGTAGTACACTCTCCAGTGCTGACATCTTCAGGAGCTCTCCAGCATGTCCTTGTCTGGCTCTTTCTGACGGCAAAGCGCAAAGGACTCCTGCACAAACTGGCGGCACATGGGACACTGCTTGAAGTAGCACACCCAGCTGTCGCACAGGCAGGCGTGGCGGCACGGCAGGAGCACCCAGTTCACGCCCCCATTCTGGCACATCACACAGTCCTTGCTGCTCTCCTCCACTCCACTCCTTGCCAGCCCCGCCCTCTCCAGTAAGCTCTGCTCCGCATCTCTGTCTGCTGGCGAGCGCTTGCTGGAGGGACTGGGACTACTGTTTGCAGACATGAAGAGTTGCTTAAGATCATAAAATTGACCTTGAGCCAGGAGCAAATATTGATACAATATTCTACAAGGCAGTTTGTAAGTCTTATCAGGAATGTGAATCACTGAGACCATGGAGATAATATCATAAATTTCCCTATCATCCTCATCAGCCAGGGTCAACAGAGCTACCAATGGATAGCGAGATCTGGGTACTGGACCAAAGTCTTCAATTTCAGTATCTCTTGGCAACTGGCAATATATTTCTTCTTTGCTGTGCTTTTTAATACTTTTGAACATGTAAAGGCAAATTGCCAAAAGAACAAAAGTATACTAAAGAGTCAGTAACTTGGTGACACTTTACTGTATCCAGAGTCTCATGTTGGTGAGCCAGTGGGCGTGTCTGGGAAAAGGATACAAATACTGTTCCCGGTGGAGATAGTCACTGTACAGTGCCTCTTCTAACGCCCGCCCGTGGAGTGCTTATCCTGAAGCAGGAAGCGTGCTTCTGAAGAGCTTCATAGAGCTTTTGGACACTGCACCCCCAGAAGCATGTAAGACGACTATCTTCAAGGCAGTCTGCTGTCAAGGTCATGCCGGCTGCTAGTGAAGCTGAAGATGAGGTAGTGATCTCTAAACCAAAAGGGTTCTTGACTTGTCTCATTGGTTTTTTGAACGCTCTTGTGCTGAACTGGATTTCTTCCGAATTTCTCAGAATTACGGGAACATCCCAACCAAACCATCCTAGAACCAGGCCGGTGGTGACGATGAAGCAGGTGAAAACCACCGCGATGTAGAAGAGCGTTACCAGGAACGCTGCCGCCATCAGGGTCTCCTGAGCTCAGACCGGCCCAGCCCGGCCGGCCGGGACCAGACCCGGTATCCCTCTGTGATTTTCTTAATGCATAATTGACACAGGTTGTTAAGAAACTTTTCTTTAACAGATTAATGGCAAAAGAAAAATGACATAAGGTATTTGATACAGTATTTGAAGGCCGCTGGCTGAAAAATTCTTGGGAATCTTTTGGGCCTTTGGAATGAAAAATTGGAAGACTGAGGCGAGGGTATGAAGGTGGCGGGGAAACTTTGCTGTTTGCGGTATGGAATCTTCCCAGTTGGGACGCCCTAGGTTTCACACCCCCCTTCTTTTGTTTTTTGTCAAGCGGTTGAGCTGTGTGAAACTGAAAGTACAAAGAAATGTGGAGGAGAACAGTTAAACACAAAGAAAGTATTTAAATAAGGTGGGGCTGGGGTAGGGCTCAGTCAGTGAAATGCTTGCCACTCAGACTGGAGGCCCTGAGTTAGACACCCCCCCCCCATGGAACTCTACATACATGTACAAGTACTCATACATGTGGACTTCTACCTGAGTTAGACACCCCCTCCACTGAACTCTACACACATATACAGGTACTCATACATGTGGACTTCTACATAAGCATGCAAAGAAAAAATGGAAATTAAAGAATGGAAATGGGCAAAGCAGTTTTAAGGCTTAAGCTCAAAATATTTACCAACTTAAAAATAAGAAAAGGTGACTATTGGTCTGAGACTTAGCTGGCTTGGATGTGTGCTTGCCTAACACACACGAAGCCCTGGCTTGACCTTCAGCACCACATGGAACAGGCTCGGTCTTGCACACCTGTCATCCCTGAAGTGGAGGCAGGAGGATTGGAAGTTCAAGGTCACTTTCAGCTGGAATTGAGTTCTAGCCAATCAAAACAAAAAACAAACAAATAAAAATAGCCCCCAGGTAAACCTATCAGAGTAAAATACTTTAAAACAGACAAGTGCAACAATATGTAAAACAACGAGCACAACACACACACACACACACACACACACCAGATCCATGAGATTTAAAGCAAATAAAATAATGCTGGTTTAAAATAAACACAATATGGGATATGGGATTTACAGTGAGGTCAGCTAGAAACAAAGTGGAGAACTATTTGAAATTGCTTTGAATAATGTTGGTGTAATAGTTCATAAATGTAGACTGGAAGAGTTGTTTTGGCCTCAACTCTATTTAAATTAAAGACATGAAGGAGAGGCAAGTATGTTCACCCCATTAAATGGTTCTGTATTGAGTCTCTGGTCCTCCAGGGAGCCACTCCGTAGGGTTTGCCTACAGTGTGAATTTTTCCAGAAAATCTGAACGAAGAATAGCTGAGTTTGGGTGTCTACTGCTCCTTGAAGGTACCTGGGAGCTGAGAAGGCAGTCTGGAAATGCCAGGTGTCTGTGTCCCCATCATTTCCCCACAGATTCAGAAAGGCAGAAGTTGGTGACTAACACATCAGCTACTGGAGATTGTTGAAGTTACCCACTCATTCTTGGCTTCTTCCCAGTTTATAGAATCAGGCTTCCTGAAGCTTCTGCCCACGAATTAGCATTCTAGAAAGTGTGACAGGTGATGCCCAAACCCACCAAAGTTCGAGGATCACTGTTCCAAAGGACAGCAGTAATGGACTTATCATAGGGGCACAAAGAATTCCTGATGACACATAGTGTCACACAGAGCACCTGAGAGACAGTGGAGGGTCTTTAGTACTTATGCTTGAAAAATCAGCTGTCGCCCAGCTAAAACTGACACAGAAAAGAGAAAATCACGTGAGGGATGCTTATCAAATTTGTAGGTAGCTCATGATAGATGAGAGCATTAAAGCTCAAAAGGGTCTTGACAGGCTGTGAAATAGGGCTGAAATTAAGATGCTGCAATGTAACCAGGATAAACGTAAAATCCTTTATTTGGGTTGACAAAAAAAAATCTGCTGCACAAGGTCAAGATGGAAGAACACAACTCAGTAAAAATTTCAAAGCAAGAACTTGGGAGAGTTTGCTATCTCTGATTATGCTTGCAGCCTCCAGAATGAAGAAGTGACAAAGCCAAGGCAAGTGTGGGGTTTGGACAGAAGAGGGGGCAGTTGGGGGTGGGGTGGGGAGGAGAAACAGAGCCTCTTCTCACTGGCTGGAGTGGCATATGCATCCAGAACAAACAATACGAGGAAGGTGTTGGTGGCCCAGAATGCAGAAGTGGTCAGGCTGAGAGGGACCATAATCACATTAAATGAAGGACAGATGCACTCTGACCTGGAAAGGGCGGCTTTTCCCAAATATTTGAAGTTATCTGTCACTGACAGAGGGCACACAACATAGTGACATCTCCAGGGATCTGATGGTGTTGGCACAGAAGCTAGATGAGGAACAACGGGAGTGGAGAGATGGAGGGGAATAGGGACTGGGGATGCAGAAAGTCAGTTTAATTGAATGCAGTGTCAGAAGGCTGGAGATCAGAGAGGAAGGAGAAATGAATATACAGAAGTGATGTTGTGCCAGGCGGTGGTGGCGCACGCCCTTAATCCCAGCACTCGGGAGGCAGAGGCAGGCAGATCTCTGTGAGTTTAAGGCCGGGCTGGACCGACAGCCTCAAAAACAATACAGAGAAACCCTGTCTCATAAAAACAAAAACAAAAAAAAAACCCCAAAAAACAAAACAAAAAAAAACCCAAACAAACAAACAAAAAGAAGTGATATTGTTCCCCACTGTTTCTAGAATTTTGGTAGTGACAGGGGAAGTGTCTTAGTTTGGATTTCTTTTGCTGTGAAGAGACACCATGACCACAGCAACTCTTATAAAGAAAAACATTTAATTGGGACTGGCTTACAGTTTCAGAGGTTTAGCCCATCCTCATCATGGTAGGAAGCTTGGCGATGTGTAGGCAGCCATGGTGCTGGAGAAGGGACTGAGAGCTCTACACCTGGATTAACAGGCAGCAGGAAGTGAACTGTGAGTCACTGGGCAGGCTTGAGTTTCTGAGACCTCAAAGCCCACCCCAGTGACACACTTTCTCCAACAAAGCCAAACCAACTCTAAGAAGGTCACAACTCCTTATAGTGCCACTCCTTGTGAATTTGTAGGGGCCATTTTCTTTCAAACTACCAGAGGAAGGAAATGAGTAAGTCTCTGAAAAGATACTCAGTGTAATTGTAATCTAAGTCCTGTGGGTATTTCACTGGGTGGCTGGATCTTGATTTTTCAGATTTGTCTGTTGTGGTAGGAGACTAACTTCTAATATGGCCCACAATTTCTGCCCTTAGATGGACTCTGGTGTGGACAATGAATCCCACTGTGTCACAGCATATGAAGGAGAGAGCTGGTGGAGAGATCATGAGCTTGAAGGTCCAGTAGTGAGCATGGACAATGAGGGAGTGAGTCCTGCCAGGTCCCGGCTGGGGCGGCTCTGGCAGGAGCTGTGAAGTCAATGGCCCAAGGCTACATCCTAACCTCGGTAGCATCCAAGCAGACTGGGCATTCAGGCTGGCACAGATGACGATTATTCTCATTTTGCCTGGGAGTTCTCAAGAAGAGCAGCCTCTGGGGCCTCACTGAATACAGTCAGAGGCACTCTGGGGCAGTGTCTGTCTGGGGACCACTCAGCAGACCATCCAAAGGCCAGCTACAATGTTAGATGTAGGCAGTTTACCAGAGTTCAATGAGCATCCCCTCTGTTGGGATTTCTTTCTTCTGAGTAGATTAGAAGCAATCGACAAAAGTAGACACCTATTAACCAGAGTGAGTGCTGTCCATCTAAACCTCAAAACCATCATAAATCCACCATCAGTCAAGGCTGTGGACAAGGCTGCTTTTCTGAATGCATTTTATAGGATGCATGACTTTGGGCAATCTCTGGAATTCCTACTTACAAAAGCAGACATCATACCCTGGTCTTTCAAGTATAATGGAACCCTGGTCCACTAGCCTCCTTCTAAATGTGCTGTTATTAGCCTCTATGGAGCTATATTTCTCTCAATGTGAAGGATTGATAAGGACCCTGTGTCTCACCTGCAGTTAAGAGCTTTGGTGTTGTGGTTAAGGAAATCCAGCTGGGTTCTGGCTTCCATTATCTCCCAGTTTTCATTTTCCTTGGGTGTGGTATGGAAAGATGATAATACTTATATCATCAATATGTTGTGGAAAATAAACGAGGTAAATATATATATGTGTGTGTGTGTATGTAATAGGATATATAATAACATATCTTACTATAAAGTTGAATAGATACTGTTTTCATTGTTTATACCACATTGCCTTATAAGTAAGCTCTTTGAAGAACATTCAAATATAGCCAGAGAGCTCTTGAATTTGGACAAATTCAAGAAATACTTACCGAGTACTGTGGATGTTTATGAAGGACTATGCAGTTCCAGAGAGTTCCTTCTCATTGGAGAGATTTTCTGTGCATTGCCTAGTATTGCCATCTCCACTTTGAAAGAAGCATGATCTTACCATGAAGTGATTGTGGCTTTGCTGAATATTGTTCAAGACAAACAGCAGTAGCACACCCCACTGTAAGGCTGTGTGATGATATGCAGCTCCGGACCAGGCTCTTACTGGAGTTCCAGTGGATTAGAAAGCCGGTCACAGCTTGAGCATTCAGGAAAAGTCAGAAAAAGAGCTTTGTTCCTGAGTGAGCATGGGGCAGAACAGAGGCTAATGGCCTGGTCTATCCCCAGAGTGCTTTGTACTTCCAGCAGGTTAGGGTTGCATAGGGAAGAGAAACAAAGGCAAGGATTGGGAGTTTCCCTGGCAGTAGGTTGTCTGGCACTGGCCAAGGCATGGTTGATCATGACATGGGATTAGTATCTCAGGATCTCCAGTCAGGGCTTGCTGGTACCAAGAAAACACCTGCTGCTTAAGGGTAGTTGGGCTCTTTTCATCAGGTATCCATTAATCAGGCCTATTGTTTCTGGGTCCAAGAACACTGGAAGGGAGACGGAAGAGAACCCAGGAGGAAGGAAGGGAAACAACATGGGAGCAGAAAAAA